ATCATCCCTCCTCAAAAATAAATTTTTTCGGAGTGAAGAGTTTTGTGAAATTTTATCTAAAAAATTTTCTAATTACTATTTTTTCTATTTTCGAATTTATGAGAAAATAGGGGATCTACAATTTGACTAATTCTATTCATTAGCTGGGGCACTTTTTTCCTTGCGCTTCTGCCTCGCCTCTATCTCCTTCTGCAGGTTTAATGGAGTATCAAACCTTAGTCGAATTGCAAGAGGATCATCCTCCGGCCTGGTGAGATCAAATACAACAAACTCACCTTTACGGAGATAGCTATTAATAACCATGGATGCGCTCTTTACATCATCAGTATATCGGCCAGCTATCTTGGACACGTCTTGATAACTGCTTCCAATATGGCGCAGTAATATGTCATTTCGATTTTTTGGTAATGTTAAGTATTACATAATTGATATTTTCCTGACTTAATTTAAAAGCATTAAAAGATCTAATTCTATCTAGAAGCATATTTCGATTCTGTTCGAAAAAATGCAAAGGAGATAGACTTGATATATTTCGATTAAATATTAATGCAAATACATTTATCTTTATAGCCTATTCACATATAATATTGGATCATGTATTAGATTTATTTTTTTTCATTTCACTCGCTTCGCCACAATGCATGTAGGCGTGTGTGACAAAAATAAACGTGTTCTGTGCTTGTAAATATTTCGAATATAAGAAATCTGAGAGCAAAAATGCTGGGACTTGTCTAGGATCCTCTTTGATAGCATCATATATTTCATTCGCTTCTCTAGCGTTAACCTGATTTTCTCAATAAAATTTTAAGGCGCAGTTGTTGTATAACACGCACGTGATTAAAATTCATAGATGTACGTGTGTAACTGATTTTTAAATATAAATTCGAAAAGGATCAATTAATCATTTCTTTACTGACTTTCTTCCTCATTATGTATTCTAATTACTTTTGTGAAACGCTACCGGAAAATTACAGCTTTCTTGGTTTCTACAAGTATCGTCATCAACAACCTGACTTCACCTTCTCGTTTCAAAAGGAGTCCCGCAAACTTAGTAGCGATCTCGAGGAATTGATGAAAGAAAATTCAGAAGCAGTTAGAGTTTACGCAGGCCGGTTACTACAGAATCATAAGGTTGTTCTTTCCTTTTATGCTGAGGGTTTCAAAACGTGGTTACGCGACTAGGGGGGACATCTGCGTTTGGCCCTCTGAAGATCTGCGTTTCGTCGTGTATCACACAACTACGGTGAATATCTGCGTTTATCCACCTTATGGTCTGCGTTCCGTTGTGCGACCCTCAGCTATAATCAGTTTTATTTTTTTATTACCGCTCTAAATATTATACTTACTCCTATTGATCTTCAACTATATAAGAATCATCGTGAAAAATATCCTGATGTTCAGATGTTTTGGAATGACATAGAGGCATCTGTCGCCAATTCGAGTCTACAATTAGATAAGGTTTATTACTTTCCCGTTTCTTTTTAGTTCTTATCCCAATTCAGACTTGTATTGACTAAATATCCTGACTAGGTAAATACGGCTCGAACAGTAATGCATGGCACCGAGAGGTTGATCAAAACCGCCTTCAACGAAGTTGATAGCACACTGAAAACCAATGTTTCTAATAATGGACCGGTATATATTGCATACATTCTTTTTTTGTGCCATTGCATCTGCACCTATTCTTCTATAAATACTCATTAAGAATCCCTATTCACTACATCACTCACGGATGAATACGAATTTCAAGAATGAAAGAAAACGACCAGTCGAAGAGCCCTCTCCTGTTACTACACCTCCTAACCTTCGCAATCACTCTCCCCCTCCTTTTAACAGCATGAATAATTCTTTCAACGGAGAATCAACCGAAATTGAGAAAGAGTCAATTGAAGCCTCTCCAGTAATTTTTTTTCGTTTTGTTTAGCTGTATGATGTATATAAGTTTGTTTCTAATCTGCATTGCGATATTGCTTGTTTTAAGGAATTAAATGTCCATGAATCCGATATAGAGATTACGCATGAAGATTACAATGAAAATCCTTTCGATGTAGGAGATGGATCAAGAAATCATAAGGTTAATATTAATAAGTATTAGTTGCAAATCAATTATTAAGCAGAGAAAAAAAACGGAATTTTATTCACTGAATATATCTTTTTATTAATTAATAATTAATTCAATTCTTAATTATATAGTTCAAAATTATTCTATCATGGAAACATGCAATCAATAATGTCAATACAAACAATATCTCCGGGAATGACGTAAGTATCGAGCAACATCATGATAGTCTTTTCCTGATATATAGTAATAATCCTTTCTCACCTATAGTGGGTTGTAGATGGTCACAACATTTCTCTTGATTTCCGTAAATTTCAATTAGCATCAATAAATCTTTTAGAGACTAATCCAACCTTTTTATACGTAAAAGATATGGATCGGATTCTGTAAGTGTTTTTTATGCAAATAAAATCTATTTTAATATCTAATTTTTGTATATGCCTGCAGGTGTTTATCATCTATAATGTATTGCAATGAAGTCAAGCCGGAATTTGTAACATGTTCCGGAATAAAATTCGTCCAAGACTCCTAGTGCCAAAGATGTTGCCATCTGTCGTACATTTAATAATAATTGAATATAATATGGTAAGTTTTCATCAACTTTCTAACAAATAATTGGCAAATTTATCAATTTGTTATATTTTGTGATTAGCTTTTAAACGACAAACAGTTATTGGACACAAAGTGGCATGAGAATTGGGCCAAATGGAGTACACTGTCAACAGACGAGGATAAATCCATCTTCGATTGTGCGCAGGAAGTCACGAAAAATTTGTGAGTTCTAAATTATTGAGAACATCTTTGTACGTTGTTGATATTTACTGTATGTCTGTTGCTTTTCAGTTTTACGTATCTGACTTCAGTGAGTTTCGATGAGGATAAGAAACTGGACGAAGATACCTTCGTTCACCGATATTGTCATAGACTTCTTGAAGAAATTTTTAGTAAAGATGATTTTACATTGATCTGGTAAGTTCCATATAAAATTATTACAATACACTATATAGTACAGTATATCGGCCTATGCTCATATTTTTTGTCATCGGAACAAAGGGCAAATGGTGAGTCTGAAAGTTCGAAAGAAAGACGAATACTAGACGGAAAGAATCACGGAAGAAAACCGGACTTTCGTATACTCTCAAAGATAGATGATGTAAATACGGAATTTTTATTCGGCGAAATTAAACCTCCAAACAATTCAACTTCCATAAACAAAAGTATAGTAAAGTTGGCGGAATTCACGAAAGGTTCTTTAGATCTTATTATTTATAGTTATGGTTACGTTGACGGTCTGGAAACATTTGGAGTATTGATTCATGGTAAGTTATCGTTCACTATTATTATAATTATGATGTTTTAATGCCGAGCTAATTAGATTAAATCCAACAGGAAGCGAAATAAAGATATTTAGTATGGACTTAGCTTTTGACGGTTTATACCGTTTCAATCAATTATCAAAAATCTTGTTACCAACGGAAAATGCGAATTTTCTAAATATCATTACCGTAATATCTACTTTTTATTCCTTATTGGTAAGAGTCTTACTTTATAGTTCAAACAAGTTGCTTTGCAGTTTAGTCGCTAATTATTTTTATTATGTAGGAAAGGATAAGATCTACAATTGTTACTATGAATTCATCTCAACCATCATCCTCCGGTCACTTGTATTGTCGAAAGTCGAATTCGTCACCTAAAAAAATACGTATACCGATAGTTAGAGCTTAGTAGAAATTCAAATGTTGGCTTGAAATTATTGCATTTATGTTCATGTAACTACTTATAATATTGACGTACGTGTGCGCTGTATGCATTCAATATTAATTAATAAAAATATTACCATCCAAAATAATCATTTAAAGCAATATTCACGATATTATAATGTATTGTAAGACAAATGCATTGTATTTTGATTATTTTTTCTGTTTACCTTTTGCAACCTTATATGAACACTGAAGCATGACCAATGTAACATATTTTTGCACGCGATTTTTTACATTTCATTTTGATCGGGCTGAGCAATGAAATTATTATATCTTAAAAAAATAATGAAACACAGATATTTAAGTTTTATGTTTATTCTATGAGACCCAATTCTCGAAGATGCTCTGGAATAACTGCACATGGGTTTTCGTAATACCAAACATACCTTAAGGCAATGCAGTTTTCTTCACATAATTCTTTCTTGAGTTGATCCCGTACTTGCTGTTTGATAAAATTATTGGGATCTCCTCCGTGAAAGAATTCGTGATATTTTTCGTGTTGTATGCCTTGTACTTCGATTGCAAAGCCATATTGCGGATAAAATATATCAAGTTCTAGTCTATTTGGATGTTCTCGTGTTTTTAAGAATTCGGGCCTGCGGATTAGTGAAGGGGCACCAAGATATTTTTTTAAAATCTCATGACATAGCTTTTCTCTCTTATATTTTGGACAGAATGGACACCAAGTTCCTTGTTGAATACTATTAGGAATAGCTTCCCATCGATGTTTGTTTTCACAAACCCATTCTAGCTTTGTGTGTGAATTATAGTATCGATCTGAAAGACAATCTCCATTTTTTTTTAGTGCAAGTTTACGCATATCCTCAATTGTTTGATAACGACCAATGCAAAATGGACACCATTGCTCTCTATTTTTAATGTGGTAAAATGTATTTTGCTATTGATGGTTGAATTGGCAACGCCACATAAGCAGTTCGTCTATATTTTTATACTCAGTTGAAAGACATTCCCCTCCCCTAGATAGTGCAATTTGCTTTGCATCCTCAAGGGTTAGTTTTGCAATACCTGCGCAATATGGGCACCATGTACCAGAATTTTTAATATGTTTAAACGAACTATTCCAAATATGACCTTGATGGCATTTCCATGTCATCGGAGTTTTGGAATTACTATATGCAGTTGAAAGACACTTACCGTTTCGGCTAAGTGCAATTTGCTTGGCGTCTTCAAGAGTAAGACGGGCATTTCCTGCACAATATGGGCACCATTTACCATGATCTTTTACATTGCTAAGAGATGCATACCACAAATGACCTTTAATGCAACTCCATAGTAATGGCAATCGATTATTAATGTACTTTTCTGAAAGACATTGACCACTTTTTAATAACGCAATTTGTTTAACAACCTCAAGAGTAAGTTTTATTTTACCTGCACATTGCGGACACCATTGTCCTAAATTTTTAATTCTAGAAAGTGGGGCACTCCATACATGGTTCTTAGAACAGCGCCACATTAATGGAGTTTTGTTATCTTTATATTCAGTTGAAAGACATATTCCATCACGTTCTTTAGCAATTATACATGCATCATTTAACGATAGCTTTTTCATTGTTTTTTTTGACGTAGCTGAATCTCTTTTCGCAGATCTAATGGAGTATCGAATCTTAATCTAATTGCATGCGGATCATCTTCTGGCTTGTTTAAATCAAACACAATAAATTCCCCCTTGCGAAGGTATTTGTTAATAACCATTGAAGCATTTTTAACATTATCAGTATATTGCCGAAGAATTTTAGAAATCTCTTCACGTGAACTACCAGAGTTAAACATCACTAGAAGGGAGATATTCTCACGAATAATAATTGGTACATGATGATACTTCTGAGTAACATAGTATGGAGAAATATTTCGATGACGCCCATGTGTAAAAAATGGAATTATTCGATTTTGGATAGACTCGGGAGCAACACATACATCCTCAAAAATGATTACGATGCTCCTCTCAGGTGAAAATGATTTTACACTAGGAATTTGTTCTGGTGATATGTAACTGAATCTAATGTTCTCGTAATAGGGTGCTTTGGGATTACTTGCTATTATTCCATACATATATCTAACGAATGCCCATTTCAGCTCATCAGGATGGTAACCGCAAACTATCAAATTATCGCATCTAATATATCTGGATCCTCCTTTTTGTCTTTTATATATATGTTCACATTTATCTCCAAGAACAAGATTTGCTAGTAAATTGGTCTTACCTGTACCACTTCTTCCGCTGACTATCATGCTGAAAGGCCATGTCATTGCTGGATGTCCAACATTTCGGGATGATTCGTGCTTTGTGGCCTCGTCCATATCCATAAGGTAAAGTTTCATAGGTGGTAGTTCTTTTTTTCGGTTCTTTTGTATGACAGATTGGGAATCCATAACTCTGATTTTTATTTAATGGTATTTTATAATTCGGAATATTTTTTTCTTTATTATGGGGCAAAATAAAAGAATATAGATAAGAGGATATACGCCATAGAAAGTATATAATTAGTAATATTATTATTATAATAAAGACCGCATTCTGCTGAAAGAAGGAATTGAGTGATACTGAGGTTATTTCGGGGCTAGTGATTTCGTTACCTTTCTCTGGTCCGCTATCACCTCCAATCACTTCATTAAACTCACTGGATGCTTCCGAAATCTGCTCTGCTAAATGAGTATTAGTTTCTTGAGGAAGGGACTCTTTTTCCACAGAGTTCTCAGCTGAGTCTGGATCTGCTTCAGCTCCACCTATTATGTTCGGTTCGTGGGATGACTGGGATATTTGTTGTTCTAACTGATCTTCCAATTCTCTCACTCTAGACCTGAGACAGCTAATTAACCCATATCTACATATTAGACCTCTTTCTACTTTCTCTAGCTCGTTTACTTTAGCTCCAAGAGAGGTGATTTCAGAATCCTTAAGCCCTACCTCGGCTTCCAATTCATGTTTCTTTGAATTTAAATCATCCCTTTCCTGCTCCAATATACGATTAAGGAAATTTAATTCACTTATTTTATCCCTAAATGAAGTGGTATCTGAATCATGAGATGTGCGTTCTAATTCCATCTCCGATTCCAATTCTTCTACTTCGGCTTTCAGTTTATCTATTTCACCTTTAAGACAAAAAATCTCATCCTTGTTAAGGGACGAAGCTTTCTGGGCGAGGGTCGCTTTTCTCTTTAGTGCTTTAATCTCAGATTTAAGCGATTGGATTTCAGTATGGGATGCCCGTTCAGAAGATCTAAGCCTAGTATTGGATGCATTTAGTTGGCTAATCTTTTTTCTAGTATCAGCTTGAACTAGCTCAAGTTCCTTTTCTTGCTTTAAATATACACCTTGCAGGTCTTTATATTCATTAGCAAGATCAGAAGCAGATTTGATACTACTATGCAATGCATTCTCAAGTTCTGATTCGCGGATACTACCCAGCCGATACCCGACCCCTTTAGGATCTCCTCTATCTTTTATATCGTTTAATGTATACACATTGGACATAATCTTGGCATGGTTACAAAGCAGGAAAAAAAAATATGATTTATTTTTTTTTTTTCTTGGCGATTTTCGAGATGGCCCCGTTCCAGAAATTTTGAAAGTACTTTATTTTTTTATGAATACTACTGATACTACGATACTATTTATAGTATCCATATTACC